GCGAATGAACTTTAATCAATGACCATAAATTCGGGTGTTAGCGTGGAACGAAACGCGACGGTTTAGAAGAACAGCTCGCGCCGCGCCGGTTTAACCGTGCATCGGTGGTGGTTAAATAGCTGTGGATCCATAGCAAATTGCGTTACACGCGATATTTCGTTGTGTACTCCTGTTGCCGATGTCTCTCAGCGGCCTGTATACAGTAACGTCGTTGTCTCGAGGGACATGTAATTTCACGCGTCCAATACCCTGTATCTTCCCAACGTGAATATCGCCACTAAATCCGACCGCCAAGAGCAGCCACGAATACCCCACGGCACTAACATACCGTCGCGCTACGGTGACACGTCGATCGCGACATTTAGCATTTTGCACGTAAGAAACCGTGGCCGGGGTTCGCGTCATCCCCTTCGTCCGATACCGATGTCGATCGCTAATTGACACGGACGGTTTCGGCCACCGTGAAGACTGCGCACGGCTCGCCGGAAATACAGCTGATAAATTATGTGACGTGATTAATGGCACGCGCGCGGCTTTGGCTCGATACGCGGTCTCGGTTTTTCTTCGGCCGACCTCTTGCTCTGTTAGTTCCTGTAGGGTGCCGTGACGCTCATAAATATGCAGACACATTTGCATCGGAATCGCGTGGAAATATTCGGGGAAACAGATAAATCGATATTATAACATTTTGCAATAATTATCTTATTAACGTTCAGGTTACGAGAGTTTGGATAGGTTCGAAGCTTTTGTAGGAAAATGGTGTGTTTGGGGCAGCAGATAAAATCTTCGATGTAATCGTAAACGTTTTTCGTGTATTTATGGGAATCGATGGTTGAACAATGTAGTATTGAGAGAATTTACAAGTATGGTATAACTTTACGGTTATGACCATGATTACACGCACACACACACACACATTTCAAATTATCTTAATCGAATGTCTCTTAATGTAATTTAATATAATTGTATCAATAGAATGATCAGGAACGTAATCTTTTAAACAGTAATCGCAAAAACATTAATTTTGCCTGTGATTCTGAAATCTTACAATTTACATCGTGTACTCTCTAACTGAATTATTAGTTTGCATTATATTCTGTAATCTAAAGCGTAATTTAGCCCGTTGAATTAATAAAATAATAATAATAACAATAACATCGATCATTCGAATCAAGAAGACATCGTTGATACGATAATAGAGTAGTTCCTTAGCTACATCGCTAAACAGAATTCTAATTGATGTGTATAGTAAATTGTGTTCCAAATGAATTACTTTTGATTCAACAGTTTGAATGTAAAACATGTTTCTCTGCCATAGAGTTCGAATATCGACGATTAGGACAATCGAGGCTCTACTTTAATATTACATCATTTTCATTCCGAAAGAAAGTATACGTTTATTGTTCGTAAAAATCTACAGGCTATTTGTTACGTGGAAAGTAATTTCTCGTTGTCCGATGACAATGAAAACAGACACAAATGATATATAAACGATTGTGCATTATGACAATATCGAGAGTACGTGATAATCGTGGGATCTACTCCGCACACTTCGCTCGAACCAGCCTCCAATTTCGGCGACCGAAATTTCCCTTGAAATTTGAACTGAAGCGAGCTTGTCATAAACTTCGTCGTAGCGGAGCTTTTACGGGGCTGCGTCACACAGTTGTAACTATTAAAGCTTTTGAGAGTAAACCGTGTCGTTTCGGCTAAAGTAGTCCAACGTGTTTTACATGGTCCGACTGACCAATAAAAAAAACAAAACAAAACAAGGAATGCCGGTTGCTCAAACAATGAAAACGTGAACATGGTCGGACAAGTGTTCCATTTAACACTGCTTAACTAGTGGCGAACCATGCGATACGCAACAGCATCGTTGTATCATTTGACTCTTCATGAAGCTACCTGAAACTGCATCGGCACGTTCAAAAGGTCTTGGCTATCGATGGCGCCCATTTCAACCGACGTGTTTGTGCAAGAAATACGTACAAAAATATGATGTTGAACTACGAAAGGGTAGAAATGACTTCTGCTCTCATTGTAGCAAAATTATTTATTTCTTCAGTGTCTCGAGAATTGAAAAATTTATTTTCAATTCTTGCGATTTTTCTTACTCAGTGAATGTTGACAAATATATTCGAAATATTTCTTCTTAAATATTAAATAACTCTACTTCTTTTACAATAATGCAATTAGACCGCGGATCATTGTGTAAAATGAAAATTGTCCTCATTGATTAATGCATTCTTAATAAATCCTAATACATTGAAGTAATTGCACTTAAGTTGCATTTAAGTATCGCAACTAAAATGCATTCCTCTTAAATTCTATAGAAAAATTTTATAAAATTATATAAATGTAAAAAATAATAACTATGATATAATAAAATAAAATATTAAATGTAATATAAAAAAGTTTTATCAAAATTCTAATAACAATGGATTCTTCCCTTTGATGATGTTAAAACAGTGAACGTAATGCAACAGTACTCTTCAAATTCTTCTTGCGCTTTCGACAATCCTTGGTCTAGTAATAATTGTTCTGTATGAATCTTTTTCATTTTACCTTGAAAATAAACATTCGTTTATGTCTCCGGATGTTTCACAGATTGTTGTGCAGCGCGTATGCAGAATGCACACCGATGAAGAATACATTTCTAACGTAACAATTAATTATGTATTATTCACTTTACTCTTCCCGTTGGTAACGACGACTGTCACGGAGAAATGATCGCTGTTAAAATACTGGCGAAAATCGTAAGCGTTTTTACAGTCTTGTCGCGAAGCGTGGATAGCGATAAGGCGCGGCGGTTCGATAGAAAGAAATACGGATTCGTTGCGTGCGCCGTGATTTCTTCGGCGTCCGAGTTAATTGCGTTTCTTCGATCGGAAGGTGAAGTGTTGCGGCGGGTCCCAGCCAAACGGTTACGACAAATGGAATATGGCGGGAGGTCTACCGCTAATTAATTAGAAACCGTCCGAACGGTCGTGATGAATAGGTTGCGTAACGGGATCATTAAAGCCTCAGTAAATTCCGACCGACGCTGCCGCGGCGTGTAATTAGCGCATTCGCGGCGCCTATTCGCCAAGAGGGGGGAAAGAGAGCGGGGGAAGTAGCCGAATAATTTAGCCGCGACAATTTCTAGATTATAATTTGATATTCCCGCGTGCCGGCGGAGTTTAAGGATTTAAGTTTCTTGCCGGGATAAGCCGGGGCTAATGAATGTCTTCCAGAATTCACACGTTCGCCGGCCGCGGATACGTCTCCGCGGCCCCTCTCCCCCTCCTAGTTGTTTCGTTAACGAGCCGGCAAATTGTTTTTGCGGGTACGACTGGCTCCGTAAGCGTTCCCGGCTTTATTATAATCTCTGCTAATTTTGACGTTGCATTTCGCATTAATGCCGGATCGGAGGTGTTCCCTAAGCACGCGAACTCCGCTAATCTGTGTACAGTTAGACTTACGAACACCTGTTCCGTTTCGGTGCCAGGACTAATTAGTCAATTAGCCATTCTACGAGTATCACGGCCCCGTAAGCTTAAACCCGTCTGATCGCGTATATTGGCGGTATCGAGTCGGGTTCTCCGAGGTTAATTCGATCGCGATGCTCCTTATCCGTTAGGTCATCGGTGCCATTTTTTCTTACCATTAATTAGGTGCATCGTGCGGCAACCGATATTAGGCCAGTGGAAACTACGCTCGTTCGACGAACAAAGTTTCGCGTTGTTTTCGATGATATTAAGCAACTGCGGTATTATTTAATTTAGCTAAAAGGTTTGTTTTAGAACATTCGTTATAGGTTAAACACGATTTTTAAGATAATTTGTACTATTTGTTTGTAATAGAATAATTAATATAATAGAGCTTAATAGAGATTAAGCTAATAGAATCGGTCGAATTTATTTTTCACATTTTTCTTCGCATGTATTATTTGTGTACAAGGGATTGAAATTCGTAAATAAAAAGATAGGTAAAGATTTCATGCACTTGTGACAAAAGTTAGTGGATAACATTCAAATCGCGGAAAGATCGAAGGGAATTTAGTATATATATCGAGAAATTATTTTCGCTATATCTAAATTCTTAAGAAATGAAATAAAGTGAAACGAAACTTGTTGCGTGTTTGAAATTAAAAGAAACACATTAAAGGAGACACTATTCAAACTGCAAATTGCAGTACGAATCGTAGAATTTTAAAGTCGAATATTTCAATTCTACACGATAGGAACAATGAAATTAGGTTTGCGTGACGTCGCCCAAGGCTCACGCGAGCGTGTAGCAGGCTGTCGACATCTTTCACAGTTACTTTTGTTCAGGTGCACGCAGTTTAACCCATTGTGCGTTCCGCCTACCTTGAAAATTTTCATTACCTTCCGACCTTTTTGATTCATCGAGTCTTTTTTTACCTGTCCGGGCACCGGATTGTTGTTCGCTACGGAAATTATAAAATTCCATCGCACTCCTATTGTCGCCTGTGATTGACGCATCGTAAGCCTGGATGAATGACGGACTTCGATTACAACATCGCGAATTGGTTTTTCCTTTTTCAATGGCAAATGTTGGCAACGTTTTCATATTTCGGATTTTTTGTCTGCCGTTCGGCGGGATACAGCGAGGATGAAACATGCTCTCTATCAGAGCCGGTCAAAAAACTAATCGCCGGCTAACGAATGAATCCCTACTGTTAATAGCTAATCGCAATTAACGATTACATTCGTTTCAATCGTTAAGAGCAATTTTAAATTTCTCAAATTTAAAAATAAATTACACATATTATTTATTAAAGAAATGTCACAACTAATTCTACAAACAGAATTTTTTGGTTCTCATTGTTAGGATTAGTTTTTGACAATAAGAATGATTTCTGTCGTGAATAATCACCCGCGTTAAAAATGCATTAAAGCGGAGCACACTTTTAACGATAAGTCGAGAGAATTTTCGTGATATTTCCGCAGGATCACCAAGATATGGTTGCAATAATTTTCACTTTGTTTGTGTTTCAGTTGCATGGGTGGTGATTTTCTAAAGGTGTTTCTACATTTGGAGACCAACGGTGTTTCCGAGTACACTCCTTGGTCTGGTGTACTTTGCGGCGAACTGCGCGACATTCCGCAAATATTGTACAGTTCAAGATCTACGCTTATTTTGGAACTGCACACACAGGGACCTCCGTCGAATGCAACCGGCTTTTTTGGAAATTTCCGGTTCATCGACAGACGTAAGTCAATAAAAGCACATTCATTTATCAATTGTAACTGTAGGCGATCGATGGAAAACACTGCAACGTCGCCGATAGAAAAATGAAAACTGAATAAGCATTTAGAGAACGATCATTCGGTGTGTCATTTTCGTTTATTTGTACGAAGTGTGTTATTTAGTTCGAAGATATTTGAAGTATTTAAAAACTAAATATCTAATATTCAACGATTCGTTTCATTTTAAAAGCCTGAAGCCTCAACTTTTACAATTTTATAATTGGATGGAGAAAAGACGCATACGTGTATGAAAAAATTATTTTAAAAAATTACATTTTTTCCTTTTTTTCGTACTGATTTTGTTCTATCTTAGAAGTAATATGTTGAATAATTTGTAATAAATTAGTAAACGAATGTAGTTATGAAAAGATATGACTTTTTACCTCATTTATGAAAAAAGACTCGTGAATCAATTTTTATACGTAATAAAAAAGCACGTAGCATCGTCAAATCGTGATCTTCTTTTCCAGAACATTCAAGGACATATTGTCATATCTTAAAAAACTTAGATCTTTATTATTGTATCACTTTTCATTAAATAATACCTTAACGAAAACTATGATATCGATTCTGTCGAAACGTCATTCAGGTGTCTTATTTCCATCGAGTGGCTCAATTTGGTGACGTCGTTTCTCGTGTGCAATTTAAACGCAAGGGAATTGATTTGCATGCATGCACGCGCAGTGCTTCGTATACTACGATCATAAAATTCGGAAAAATCTCGAAAGTAAATCGGCGCGATCGCAATAAGTGTTGCTTGCGATATAAATCCCATAAAATCGCGGCGTTCTTTCTTTTCCAATAGATACCACTGTATCTTGCCGGTCAGTTCCACTCTAAGCCGAGCTTCCCCGAAATCAATAGTCTCCCTGATATCTCCGAAATTGAGTTTCTTAAACCTAACTCGCCAGACTGCGAACACTGCAGGCTATAAAACAGCACACCTCAAATTTCCTTTTTCAAACTCATGCTTCCGAGTGCCCAGGAAACTTCACCTTACTTCATACCCCTGTCTGTGGAGGAACTTTCAGAATCCGTAATGCGATCCGATCTTTTCTTGGCTGCTTGTAAAACTTAGCCATTAAGTATCCGCAATAGAAATTGCCTGTGCTGCCCTGCTATAACACCGGAGCAGATTTATTATTCAACGCAAGCCTAAATCTGCAGCCTGAACTTCTACGCTCGAACAGATTAAATAGTAATCGCGTGAAAACTTTCGACTTAGGCACTGAAATGTTTCAATTGACGCGACTCGGTGTAGAAAATTGTTTTCTGCTACACTTCTATTGTTATATTTACTATTATATATAAATAATAATATATTATTTATATTATATTATTATATTATATTATTATATTATTTATATTATATTATTATATTATTTATATTATATTTATATTATATTATATTATATTATATTATATTATATTATATTATATTATATTATATTATATTATATTATATTATATTATATTATATTATAATTTATATATTATTATTATATTATATATATATAAATAAATATTTATTAAGAAATTAAGAAAGTTCGTACACACCCTACTTAATTTATCGAAGTTATTAAAAGAAGAACTACATTTTCATTTCACTTCTGTTTCTCGCAATTAATTACGAACATTTTTCTTTTGCAAAGG